CTTCATTTATTTATTTAAAAATTTATGATTAGTTGCAAATTTTTTATTTAGTTTTTTGCTTTTATCTACACTTTTATTGCTCGTAGAAAAATCTTACAACCGTCAATCTTTTCATCTCAATAACTCTCGTTCCATTTAATAGAATGTAATCATGTTTTTAATAATCACTATGATAATATCTTACATATTCGTAAGAAAAGTAAAAAACTAAATTTTTTAGAAGAAATAGAAATCAACAAATTCAAAAATTCAGACAGACTATTTTAAGGCCAATTTGATCTCAATAGGTCACCTTTACTTAATTTAAAATTTTAATGCAACTACTATGTTAATATATACCGTATACATTTATTGTATTATTATGTATTGACTCGGTATTCAGTACGTATAGTATATTATAGCAACATAAATTAGTTTAGTTGGAATTCGATAGCCATCTGAAGAAGGTACTGTGTACTGAAACATCTGTTATGGCAATACTTAAGTTTTAATAAAGAGTGAAGATTATAAATCTAATGTGTTTTAATTGTTATAAACATGAATCTTTTCAAGTGTGGACCAACACTATTGATTATAATACTTTGCAATTTCTTTAATATTTCTCGTTGATAAATTTCAAATAACTTTCAGGGACCTTCTTTATGCCTACAATAAAATTCTAGAGCTCTTAGGCTATATTATAACAATATATTTTCCCTCACCATGTTTGTGCCAACTCTTTGTACGAGGATTCACGCCATAAAGTTAAAACGAAACGAAAAAATAAACGAATTTTGTAGAATTTTAGCTTCAGCATGAAAATTATCCTTTGTGGCGAATCATATCATTTAATTATAATTCTCTTATTCTGAAACGAGTACTAGAAAATATTGACTGTTTTTTAATAATTTTTATAACCGATTAGGCAAGAAGTAACAAACACATATTCATGAGAATGTATTAATCTACAAACAAACTGATTGAAGTAAAAAAAATCCTTTTTATCATAAATACGATGGCATTTAGTTGATCACATAATTTAAAAAAAAACTACATCACACATGGAGCGCTTCATTAAATTATACTTATATGCATGAAAGTATGCTAAGACAACATCTTAGTGACTGATTTATTTGCGACATTTGTAAACATTCAAAAGTGAATATTTTGATCAAGTCATTTTTTTCTATTCTAAGAACACCAAAATCTTACTACAGGTGATATAGTATCTAAGACTTAATGTGATTACTTCCATGAACGAAGATTTCTTCTTTTAGTAATTTGTATGCCATGCAGGCGGTAGGAAGGATGAGAGCCAATGAAACTAGTAGATACAGGAGTTAAAGTTATTATGGTCCCAAGTAATTATCATACGAAATATTTAGACTAAAACGACTTCTACTTCTCATAATTAAATGCACTAAATTTATCTATTAATAACCACTGCAATGTTGGTATGGAATCGATTACATCTAAACAAGACGACAATTTTGCATTTATTCTGATTTTTCTGAAATTAACTTAGGTGGTGTCCCAAAACACTTACATTAAAATAAAATCTGTTTCAGTACAGCTGAGTTAAGCAAGAGTTAAAAATTTCGGTTTTCAATTACAAAAGAAAAAATATCAATGTTGGTTTTTTCAAATCAGTAGCAAAAAATATTCTCCAACAATGAAGGGTAGTTAAGCATCACCATTATGAAATGATTACTTAAAAACTGGGAATTCACTCTAGTTTTTTTAAAAGTGTAACGTTACCTTGTTTAAAGGACGTAGCAGTATTTAAGTGCGCCAATATTTTTTTCTTGTAACATATTATAACATTGATTTAATGCCAACTTACTCATACTTATTATTCATTATTGTTAGGTTGTATGAACTATGTTTTCAACTATTTTTAGAAAGTTTTTGTACTTACTATACTCAATTATCATTATTTTTTTAAATATGTTATATCTCATTTTACTTAACATACCATAGCAGCTTTCTTCTTACTAGCGGTCTTCTGATTTCTTTTTACACAACGTAATACATCTAATACAAAAAAAACAAGGCTAAAAACTGGCACAAAAAAATTTTAATTCAATGAGCTCCATAACTTTTGAATTCAACATTTTGTTGTTGAGTTGAAACTTATTTTTGTAACAAGCAAAAATCGTTTTTATCGCTGTTTTTGTACATATTTTACTTTATGAAGCATCTACATTGTGATGTAGAGCAAAGTGTATAGTACAAAAAGTTGCATTTGAACCAAATCTACAGCTGTGTCTGTAAACGTTAGCGTGTAAAATGTGTCTTAAAAAAGTTATCACTTAAAAACTGGTTTTTTTTTGTCTTACAGGGCTGTACTAAAAATGCTGTTAAAATTTTTCCATTCGATGAAACTTGCCCAAATGTAAATTATTAGCTTACACATCCAACTTGATCTTACAAACAAAATTTCAGCCCATTTGCACACACACACTATGCGGACAACTCATATCACCCTCATACTAAATTAAAAATTTTTTTTTACATAGAATGAGGCGATTTTTTAATGTTTATTCTTTTTGTTCTTATAAAAATCATGTTACAATGTTAACTATAAGAAAAAATTATTAAAATGATCTAATAGAGGAATAAGTAATAAGTAACATCTTATGGTTATAACTATTCAGAAAATATAGGGCAAAGACCACAAAACTAATGAATATAACACAATAACTATAACTTGTAAATAGTTTGATACCTATAATTCAGAATACAAGAAGAAAAATAGTCTATTATATTGTTGATGAAAATGTAGCAAAAAAATAAGTCCTTACTTTTTTCAGTTATTTCATACACACAACTGAGTCAGCAAATTTTTGTTTTTAGAACCACTGAAATATTTGTGTTCACCTTAACATACACCTTAATATGTGGTCTGTGTACGTCAAAAAAACGAGACTGTTCATATGAGTGTAAGAAGTACCTGTATTTTATAATGTATCTATGTTGCATCTTATTACTTTTCAGCATTTTTACTAATCCACAAATTTCGTCCTTGATTATTCTGCCTGATTCTGTATATACATCATATTTTCCTATGATAAGAATTGTATACTTCTTTATTACCATTGTTATTTATTTATATTTTTACTTTATTTAAAGTCAAAAGTTAAAAATAAAAATTATTATTTCATATTTTTAGGGTGTCATGGTTGGCATGGGACAAAAGGATAGTTATGTAGGTGATGAAGCACAAAGTAAAAGAGGTATTTTAACACTTAAATACCCAATCGAGCATGGTATTATAACGAACTGGGATGATATGGAAAAAATTTGGCATCATACATTTTACAATGAATTGCGCGTTGCTCCTGAGGAACATCCAGTACTTCTTACTGAAGCTCCACTAAATCCGAAAGCTAACCGTGAAAAAATGACGCAAATAATGTTTGAAACTTTTAATAGTCCCGCCATGTATGTTGCTATTCAAGCTGTTCTTTCTCTGTATGCCTCTGGTAGAACTACCGGTATCGTCTTAGATTCAGGAGATGGTGTCTCCCACACAGTACCAATATATGAAGGATACGCACTACCTCATGCAATTCTACGTTTAGACCTTGCTGGTAGGGATCTAACTGATTACTTAATGAAAATTCTTACTGAAAGAGGGTATTCGTTTACAACAACAGCAGAACGGGAAATTGTACGTGATATCAAGGAAAAACTTTGCTATGTAGCACTGGACTTTGAACAAGAAATGGCAACTGCAGCTGCAAGCACTTCACTCGAAAAAAGCTACGAACTACCCGATGGGCAAGTTATTACTATTGGCAATGAAAGATTCCGCTGTCCTGAAGCTTTGTTTCAACCATCATTTTTGGGAATGGAGTCTTGTGGCATTCACGAAACTGTCTACAATTCTATTATGAAATGTGATGTAGACATTCGTAAAGATTTATATGCGAATACGGTACTTTCTGGAGGCACTACAATGTATCCAGGAATAGCAGATAGAATGCAAAAAGAGATAACTGCATTAGCACCATCCACAATAAAAATAAAAATCATTGCTCCCCCAGAAAGAAAATATTCAGTATGGATTGGTGGATCCATTCTAGCTTCATTATCTACTTTCCAACAAATGTGGATATCAAAACAAGAATACGATGAATCTGGACCAGGAATCGTTCACCGTAAATGCTTCTAATTTTAAATTGTTGTAAGATAATTAAAAAAAACTAAGCATACTGTGACTTTTACTACAAAATACAGTTTTCTTCTGATACTACGGTATTATTCATGGAAGAAAAAACGGAAAGCGCTTATGAGAATATTTTTTATTTCTTATCATCTAACATTGTATTTATAAAGTATGATAATTCCTGTAAGTACATTAAATTATATACAACTGCATCACAAATAAAAAGTTTTTTTTATTCTTTTTTAAAGACAGACTATTTTAAGGCCAATTTGATCTCAATAGGTCACCTTTACTTAATTTAAAATTTTAATGCAACTACTATGTTAATATATACCGTATACATTTATTGTATTATTATGTATTGACTCGGTATTCAGTACGTATAGTATATTATAGCAACATAAATTAGTTTAGTTGGAATTCGATAGCCATCTGAAGAAGGTACTGTGTACTGAAACATCTGTTATGGCAATACTTAAGTTTTAATAAAGAGTGAAGATTATAAATCTAATGTGTTTTAATTGTTATAAACATGAATCTTTTCAAGTGTGGACCAACACTATTGATTATAATACTTTGCAATTTCTTTAATATTTCTCGTTGATAAATTTCAAATAACTTTCAGGGACCTTCTTTATGCCTACAATAAAATTCTAGAGCTCTTAGGCTATATTATAACAATATATTTTCCCTCACCATGTTTGTGCCAACTCTTTGTACGAGGATTCACGCCATAAAGTTAAAACGAAACGAAAAAATAAACGAATTTTGTAGAATTTTAGCTTCAGCATGAAAATTATCCTTTGTGGCGAATCATATCATTTAATTATAATTCTCTTATTCTGAAACGAGTACTAGAAAATATTGACTGTTTTTTAATAATTTTTATAACCGATTAGGCAAGAAGTAACAAACACATATTCATGAGAATGTATTAATCTACAAACAAACTGATTGAAGTAAAAAAAATCCTTTTTATCATAAATACGATGGCATTTAGTTGATCACATAATTTAAAAAAAAACTACATCACACATGGAGCGCTTCATTAAATTATACTTATATGCATGAAAGTATGCTAAGACAACATCTTAGTGACTGATTTATTTGCGACATTTGTAAACATTCAAAAGTGAATATTTTGATCAAGTCATTTTTTTCTATTCTAAGAACACCAAAATCTTACTACAGGTGATATAGTATCTAAGACTTAATGTGATTACTTCCATGAACGAAGATTTCTTCTTTTAGTAATTTGTATGCCATGCAGGCGGTAGGAAGGATGAGAGCCAATGAAACTAGTAGATACAGGAGTTAAAGTTATTATGGTCCCAAGTAATTATCATACGAAATATTTAGACTAAAACGACTTCTACTTCTCATAATTAAATGCACTAAATTTATCTATTAATAACCACTGCAATGTTGGTATGGAATCGATTACATCTAAACAAGACGACAATTTTGCATTTATTCTGATTTTTCTGAAATTAACTTAGGTGGTGTCCCAAAACACTTACATTAAAATAAAATCTGTTTCAGTACAGCTGAGTTAAGCAAGAGTTAAAAATTTCGGTTTTCAATTACAAAAGAAAAAATATCAATGTTGGTTTTTTCAAATCAGTAGCAAAAAATATTCTCCAACAATGAAGGGTAGTTAAGCATCACCATTATGAAATGATTACTTAAAAACTGGGAATTCACTCTAGTTTTTTTAAAAGTGTAACGTTACCTTGTTTAAAGGACGTAGCAGTATTTAAGTGCGCCAATATTTTTTTCTTGTAACATATTATAACATTGATTTAATGCCAACTTACTCATACTTATTATTCATTATTGTTAGGTTGTATGAACTATGTTTTCAACTATTTTTAGAAAGTTTTTGTACTTACTATACTCAATTATCATTATTTTTTTAAATATGTTATATCTCATTTTACTTAACATACCATAGCAGCTTTCTTCTTACTAGCGGTCTTCTGATTTCTTTTTACACAACGTAATACATCTAATACAAAAAAAACAAGGCTAAAAACTGGCACAAAAAAATTTTAATTCAATGAGCTCCATAACTTTTGAATTCAACATTTTGTTGTTGAGTTGAAACTTATTTTTGTAACAAGCAAAAATCGTTTTTATCGCTGTTTTTGTACATATTTTACTTTATGAAGCATCTACATTGTGATGTAGAGCAAAGTGTATAGTACAAAAAGTTGCATTTGAACCAAATCTACAGCTGTGTCTGTAAACGTTAGCGTGTAAAATGTGTCTTAAAAAAGTTATCACTTAAAAACTGGTTTTTTTTTGTCTTACAGGGCTGTACTAAAAATGCTGTTAAAATTTTTCCATTCGATGAAACTTGCCCAAATGTAAATTATTAGCTTACACATCCAACTTGATCTTACAAACAAAATTTCAGCCCATTTGCACACACACACTATGCGGACAACTCATATCACCCTCATACTAAATTAAAAATTTTTTTTTACATAGAATGAGGCGATTTTTTAATGTTTATTCTTTTTGTTCTTATAAAAATCATGTTACAATGTTAACTATAAGAAAAAATTATTAAAATGATCTAATAGAGGAATAAGTAATAAGTAACATCTTATGGTTATAACTATTCAGAAAATATAGGGCAAAGACCACAAAACTAATGAATATAACACAATAACTATAACTTGTAAATAGTTTGATACCTATAATTCAGAATACAAGAAGAAAAATAGTCTATTATATTGTTGATGAAAATGTAGCAAAAAAATAAGTCCTTACTTTTTTCAGTTATTTCATACACACAACTGAGTCAGCAAATTTTTGTTTTTAGAACCACTGAAATATTTGTGTTCACCTTAACATACACCTTAATATGTGGTCTGTGTACGTCAAAAAAACGAGACTGTTCATATGAGTGTAAGAAGTACCTGTATTTTATAATGTATCTATGTTGCATCTTATTACTTTTCAGCATTTTTACTAATCCACAAATTTCGTCCTTGATTATTCTGCCTGATTCTGTATATACATCATATTTTCCTATGATAAGAATTGTATACTTCTTTATTACCATTGTTATTTATTTATATTTTTACTTTATTTAAAGTCAAAAGTTAAAAATAAAAATTATTATTTCATATTTTTAGGGTGTCATGGTTGGCATGGGACAAAAGGATAGTTATGTAGGTGATGAAGCACAAAGTAAAAGAGGTATTTTAACACTTAAATACCCAATCGAGCATGGTATTATAACGAACTGGGATGATATGGAAAAAATTTGGCATCATACATTTTACAATGAATTGCGCGTTGCTCCTGAGGAACATCCAGTACTTCTTACTGAAGCTCCACTAAATCCGAAAGCTAACCGTGAAAAAATGACGCAAATAATGTTTGAAACTTTTAATAGTCCCGCCATGTATGTTGCTATTCAAGCTGTTCTTTCTCTGTATGCCTCTGGTAGAACTACCGGTATCGTCTTAGATTCAGGAGATGGTGTCTCCCACACAGTACCAATATATGAAGGATACGCACTACCTCATGCAATTCTACGTTTAGACCTTGCTGGTAGGGATCTAACTGATTACTTAATGAAAATTCTTACTGAAAGAGGGTATTCGTTTACAACAACAGCAGAACGGGAAATTGTACGTGATATCAAGGAAAAACTTTGCTATGTAGCACTGGACTTTGAACAAGAAATGGCAACTGCAGCTGCAAGCACTTCACTCGAAAAAAGCTACGAACTACCCGATGGGCAAGTTATTACTATTGGCAATGAAAGATTCCGCTGTCCTGAAGCTTTGTTTCAACCATCATTTTTGGGAATGGAGTCTTGTGGCATTCACGAAACTGTCTACAATTCTATTATGAAATGTGATGTAGACATTCGTAAAGATTTATATGCGAATACGGTACTTTCTGGAGGCACTACAATGTATCCAGGAATAGCAGATAGAATGCAAAAAGAGATAACTGCATTAGCACCATCCACAATAAAAATAAAAATCATTGCTCCCCCAGAAAGAAAATATTCAGTATGGATTGGTGGATCCATTCTAGCTTCATTATCTACTTTCCAACAAATGTGGATATCAAAACAAGAATACGATGAATCTGGACCAGGAATCGTTCACCGTAAATGCTTCTAATTTTAAATTGTTGTAAGATAATTAAAAAAAACTAAGCATACTGTGACTTTTACTACAAAATACAGTTTTCTTCTGATACTACGGTATTATTCATGGAAGAAAAAACGGAAAGCGCTTATGAGAATATTTTTTATTTCTTATCATCTAACATTGTATTTATAAAGTATGATAATTCCTGTAAGTACATTAAATTATATACAACTGCATCACAAATAAAAAGTTTTTTTTATTCTTTTTTAAAACCTTTATAAATTCTATTATAAAAAAATCTACAAAACATTTAAAATATTTGTTTCTCTAACATAAAGTAAAATTTCTTTATTTATAAATGTACCTATCAAAACATTTTTTTTAAATGTACTCCACAAAAAAAATGCTTACAACAAGCAACTATAGCATCAGTTTTTTTTTTTCATTGGTCTTTGAATACATAATTTTAAATAAAATTACTAACCTTCGCAAAATTTTTTAATGTCAATTCCGTCCTANAAGATAAAATCTCCTTTATCATCAATGATAATATTAGCAGAATCGTGCTTATTAGCTAATTTCATAAATTCATTGTTGCATTTTCTAAAATTTATTAAAATTTTTCCTTTATAAGATCCAGAATTATAAATAAAAGTTAATTTAAGTTTTCAGAGTAAATCAATTCCATGGTTACCTGTTAACATAGCCTTAAATTTTTTACCTTGTTGTTGTTTCATTTGTTCATTTATGCTCACTTGATTTTTTTGGAAACGGCCATTATCTCTGAACTTAGAATGACCTCTGCCTCTGACTCTATCACTTGCTCTGAGTGAGTTGGTATTTCGGTCTTTGTTAATATTATTAACATTATTAAAATCATTTCCACCGTACCGTACCCATTAGAAAACTTGTAAGTTTACTTAGGATTTTTCTGGGATCCTCCACATTTTAAATTTTTTTGTGATAATATTTTTCTATGTGATTAATTATCAGTACTTTTACTAAATTGTCTTTGTTCTTCTAACATATTTATTTTATCACTCTGAATTTCTGAGTGTAGACTCCAATTTTCCATAATCTGTATAACAAGAGGTTACA